TGAACTGGCGGGCCTCAGAGCCAGCGGGCGGGCTGGCGAAAGCCAGGAGCAGTCTCTCGACGCAAGTTACGGCGGCACGAATAAAAAGCAGAAATGACTGGTTTCCACCGAATGATTTGACACCACGCACAACGAATAAAAGCTTCATTGTCACATTATTCTTCTTCACTGGTTTATCATAGTTTCAAGGCAATATTTGATTGGCACTACAAATTCATGTTATGTACCTTGTAGCAAACCAAGAATACTTAATCGTATTCTGGAAAAGAGGAGATGAAAATTGAAAATGAATGAAGGATTTCAATTGCAGAATTGTCTCTATCGGAAAGTTTGGCGTTTATACTCTTGTGAGACATTTTTTTTCTGATAAGCGGCGATACATATCTTTCCACTGTCGGACGAACTTATCAAGTGGATGAATTTTTCATGTAGTTCCGGGAGGTATCTGGAGCAATTTAATTGTCTTGTCTGGATGAATATACACGTTTTGTCATTGAACGTGGACCATGAATCTAAAAATAGAGCAAAATTTTTACTTACAAATGGGAAGAACGCTTCTTTAAACCATTGTTGGACACTACAGTTTTTTTTGTGTTCTCTAGGATTTGCTGTCATGTTTTCCTCTTGCTTCTTCCCCAAATACAGTTGTCGCTCTGACGTCACACTGCGAAAATTTCTACGAACATGTGATATTAAATATCTTTTCTTACCGCCCTCCTTCAACCAGAATTCCACAGCATTCCAACATTCGTCTTGTAACTAATGGTAACATCTTCATTTGCATTTTTCACAGGGCTTGGATAATAAATTGAACCGGAGGATTTGCAGGGTGACTGACATTTCGAATCACTAGTTTCCGGGGATTCGCTGTGTGATTCTAATCAACACTTGCCTATGTCATCACCCGTGGTAGAAGTATGCTTATCGTAGTATCGTAGTTTGTATCACGAAAGTAACTCAAGACGAACTCGACTATGTTAACGAGATTGAAAAGAACGTGCTCTGTGGCCATTGCGGATGTTCTTTCTTCCATAACAAGCAAAGATGAACTGAGTGCGAAACTACGTAGCCCCTCTGTTTATTGCAGGGCCGCTGACGAAGCTATCCGACTCGTCTGTGACCTTCGGGTCCCTCGCGCCACCTCGCTCGCAGTAAGGGCTGGCCAAACAGAATGGTAGACGCCCCCTTTTCCTACTTATTATATGATTTTTAATACTTTATTTGGAGGCCTGGCAGTGTAAACTGGCAGCAAACATTTTGGATTCTGATAGTGCATTGCGCGTGTCATAACGTTTCTGGGATTGTTTCGACATGATCTTCCCTTGTTAGAATAATCGGAGTATATGCTTCAGAAGATGGTCACGTTGAATCTGAAAAGTTTTATAGAAATCACCAGAAAGAAATGGAAAAGTACTGTCAAAGTGACCAACTGGTGGTGGCTGGAGACTTCGATGCGAAGGTTGGTGTTAAGCAGATCACAAACTTCGTAGGTTTATACAGTGAAGATAGAATCACTAATAATGGACATTTGTTAAGAGATTTTCTCAGCTTCAATAAATTAAAAATTTTAAACACGTTTTTTAGAAAGAAAGATATACACAAGTTTTCTTGGTCATCAAGGAGATTAAGATCAATTATTGATTATATTACAACAAATGAGAATTGGCTGCCCAGATTCCTGATGTTAGAGCATATGGAGTTGAAATTCAAAAATTAGAAATTCCCAGAAATATTGTTTCATATCGTTCAGTATTAAGTCTCGACGACTATTGAAACAAGGAATGTTTACTAATCGTTGATCAATACAATCACACAGAGATACACTGAAATGTAATGGAAATGTTTTAATTGCCCTTTGATCTGTAAGATT